GTCCCCTTCTTGCTCCTCCAGCTTCACCTTAGGTCCTTTTAAATCCACCACTGGGCCCTTAGGATCCAAACCACCTTCAGGAACACCATCAAGAGAGTCGCTTCTACCAAGTTCACGATCATTAACTCCTGTGGTTTCCAAACCTGCCCTTGCCTTCTCATTAGCAAGAGGAACTTCACCACGAGCAGCAGGCTCTCCAGGACCATCCTCTCCAGGAATACCACCATCTGCTGCAGCCACAGCACCCACACAAACAACGCTCAGCACCAAGAGAAGAAAAAACAGCACACGATTCATCGTCAACACAGCAGAACTTTTTTTCTTGTTTTAGGTCACTTAACTGAAGAAAAAAAATAAAATAAAATAAAAACAAGCACACAATACTAAAGAAACAGAGAGGCACAAAACATAAAGAGCATAAGTTAAGTATCAGTCACACAAAAACAACACCACCAGCTTAAACAAAAAGAGTTCAATAAAAGCCCACCACAACCTAGTGATGAAACAAACGCAACATGGAAAAAAACTCAAATTGTGACCAAGAATAACTGCTACATCAAACGCACAAAAAACACCCACCATTCGGTATGATTGAGTTAATACGCAATGATGAGTGAAAAGGTGTATCAGTTATTCTCATTTCTCTCTGCACAAAACAAACGACCAAAAGGGTGAAGTACAAAGCAAACAACGCCCCAGCAAAACCACAAGCAAAGAAAACAGTTATTAACCATTAGCCCAATTTACCCAGTAAACACAGAAATACACACCAACTATGGGTGTAAGTCTATATATGTGTATGAATATACGCAATTATAAATATAAATTCATATGTTATTATTATTATTTCCTTTTCCTTTTTCCTACTGCAAAAAGCAGTTCATCATTATTATCACAGTGCAAGCCCAGGTGCACACAGAGAGAGAGTCCCCAAGAACACACACTGGAGTAGCAATAATAATAATTATAGGATAAAAAGATAGAAAGCAAAAACACACAAAACACACATTAACATTAAGAAACATAAAAGAAAAAGATAATCCCAACAGGTGGAAGATTAGTTAGACTGTAGTGTGGATGCATGCAAAGAGTAGAGAAAGCAAAGGATGACCTGAGTCACATCACACCACCACCATTACACAATCAGCACACAAGAATACAGGCCAGTGTAATCACAATCAGTAGTGGTACACGTACCCACACAGAACTGCTGATACTGCTGTCAACAATGGGCTTGTTCGTCTGTACTGCGGAAGCAATAGTGCTGATCTCTGCATTGGGTACAGGAGATGGAGTAGAGGTTAATTCCTCATTATTACTGGTTGTATTGGGAGTGTCAGTGTTTATGTTCTCTGATGTATTCGTTGTTGTGTCTGGAGACTCAGTACCGTTGGCCTCAACATTCTTAATATCTTCTTGGCTTGAGTTAACAGGAGTGCCATCAGATGCAGTTGTATCTGCGCTTCTCTGTGGTGCAGGTGTGGTAGAAGAGGCCCCTGAATCTTCAGTTTCCTTGGGGACTGTATTTGTGTTGGATACGCTGTTGGAATCAGATGGAATGTCTCTTTCCTGAGGGTCCTGGGACTCTTTGGGTTTCTGTTCTTGTGGCAAAGCAAGGTTCATTTCTCCTTGTGGTACTTTTGATTTTGGATCTGTGACCTTTTGCTGTGTTGAATAGTGATCACCGGTGGGCGTTAACTTCTCAAGATTATTAGGTTTCGCTTTTTCTCTTTCCATTTCACCTTCAGTGCTTTCCTCCTGCCGTTGATGATCTTGACTCCTCTGCCTTAAATCCTGTTCTTGTGAAAGAACAGCCGCTTGTTCAGGTTCTCCTTCAATCTTCTGTGCTTGAGGACGAGGGAGAGCATTACTGTCTCCAGGGTTTACCTCTATAATACGAAGAGTACCTGAGAGAGGATCACGATCACCAGGTTCTGTATCGCCAGAAGCAAGAGAAGTACCTCTAGAAGGAGAAGTACTCAGGTTAGCAGACACGCATACAGAAGCAATAATTACTAGGAAAACCAGTAAAGAAAACTCTGGTCGCACAAGCATCACAGCAAGAGTTGTTTTTAATTGCACAATTTCACTTGGCTAGAAAAAGATAGACGGAACACAGCAAATCCGTAAAACGATCCAGTGCATCAAACAAAAAGGAGAGAAAAACATAGAGAATAGATGCAGTGTACAAATACTCACAGTGGACAAGACAGAGAAGCAGTAACAGCACAGTAAAGCAACAAAAAAGGAATATCCCGCTTGTAATGATAATTTGTACTCCTTAATAGAAAATAAAGAAAAGAGAACACAATACCCAAATAAGAGAGAGAGCCAAACACATACACAATACCCCATGGCTCTAGTTTATGTATTAAATTACTCCAGACACATCTGGGTGTACTAGCAAGAGATGTATACCGTCAGTGAGCAGAACAGCCCAGTTTTCTGCAAACACACACAACGGGAAAAGCAAGTAATGAAATCATTAGAAAACGAACACACACACACACAAAAGTAAAAGAAAAGATATTCGAATTAAAAGAGAAAGATGGTAAACAGATTATTAGTTCATTCACCCATGGGGGATGTACGCAAATATAATTATGTTAGTTTAACCATTATTATTATTATTTGTCCTCAAGTGAGTCCCACCGTTCAGTACACAGTAACGGAGAACAACACAGCCACAATCAGTAGCGGTGCTGCAGTGCGCATCCACACAGGACTGACACTGCTGTCAACATTAGCCTTGTTCTTTACAGCGGAGGCAATGTTGCTGATCTCTGTACCAGTTACGGGAGATGGAGTGGTGGTTGGTGCTTCTGTGGTAGTGTTATCGGGGCTCGGCTGAGTAGTGGGATTGGTTTCTTGTGAGTCTGCGCCAGACGTAGAATTAGTTGCAGTCGTACCTGAAGCTTGAGATTGGTTGGTACTGTCCGGAGAGTCAGTTGAGACACCAAGTGTAGCATTATCATTTGACGATGTATTCCCTTCTGTTACTTGATTTTCTGTGTTGAGAGAATCATTAATCGCAGCACCGTCTTGAGCAGGATCACTCAATGGAGGTTGGTTAGTGTGTTGACCCTGCACTGTGGAATCCTGTGTTGTACTTTCTTGATGCAATTCTGTTTGTTCACGTCTTTCTTCACTTGGCCGTGAATCATGCGATGAAGTGCCATGACTGCTTGCCTCTGGACGTGACTCGGGAACCCGAGGTACTTGAGTCTTGGCAGGCTGATCCTTCTCAGGATCTGATGACTGCGCACAATTTTCTTTCTCAGCACCAGTTTTTCCTTCTATACAATTCAGGTACTTAAGAACTTTTTTTTGCTCATCGGGTGTAATTACAGGAAACTCACCCAATATAAAATCACCTTTGTGAACCTTATTTTCTTCTGCAACAGCAGCAGCCGTCATGGTATACCCGCAGGCGCAGCACAGCACAACGGCCAACACACACATCACACGGCGCATCTTCATCATCATGAGAGAGACACAATAATTTGGTTTGCGAAAAAACACTGATCTAGAAAGAAAGACAATCGAAAAGTGAAGAAAGAAAATGAAATGAAGTATCAAACGTGTTTGGACACACAAAATGATTACCACAAAAGAGACTCACATCGTGAACGTAAAACCTACCAGTTAAAGAATGCAATACAGCGCAATAACCTGATTAAGAGTAAAAACAAAAACAAAAAAACGCCCACACTCACAAATATCTCAAAAAAGGCTGAACCACCCAGCAAAATCATCAAGCAAAGAAAAACACAGATATTAAACATTAGACCAACTTACCCAGTAAACACAGAAATATACACCAACTATGGGTGTAAGTCTATATATGTGTATACGCAATTATAAATATAAATTCATCTGTTATTATTATTTCACTTTCCTCCCACTGCAAAAAGGAGTTCATCATCATCATTACAGTGCAAGCCCAGAGGCACACACACTGAGAGAGAGTCTCCAAGAACACACACACACAATGGAGTAGCAATAATAATTATAAACACTGAGAGAGCAAAAACACAGAAAACACATTAACATTAAAAAACAAAAAAGAAGAAGATAATCCAACAGGTGGAAGATTAGTTAGACTGTAGGGATTGCATGCAAAAAAAGAAAAGAAAACAAAGGATGACCTGAGTCACACCACACCACCACTACCATTACAATAATCAGCACACAAGAATACAGGCCAGTGTAACCACAATCAGTAGTG